TTTTACTTTTCCTTCAATTGATTTATAATACACAAAATTCTTCGTTTTATTTTGGTTTACTATGTGACAGGAATGAAAGACACGTAAAGAATTTGCAGTAAAAAACTTGCGATAAGTAGATGCAATTTAAAATCTAAAACCCGCTAAAAGCATGTACGTGCAGTGTTTTTTTTTTCGTTTCGCGCTATGCCTATTATTTTGGCGTTTTGGGGGGTATAAAAAGCACCATAAATATCTCGAAAAGTACTAAGTTGGCATCGCTGAGAATAACTACAACAGGAGATTGACGTTAGAAATGTTACAAATTAATAACCTATCAACAACAAAGAGAATAAACTATAAGAGCCACAGGGATAACACATTTTATTGCCACCGTCATCTCACACAGAAAAATAGATCGTACAATATGTAAATATTCATTTTCTATTTTCTTTTATTGTTCTTCTATAATTTAATTGTATTTAATTTTATAAAAATCAATATCTATGTTTGTAGTTTTCCCCGAAGATTAATAATTAAAAAGAGCATACCTAAAGCTCAAAGGAAAACTTATTTATTTAAATTAGATTGGACAAGGTCGAATAAAAAACAAACCTGAATAATAACAAACATAATGTTTTTTTAAACATTAACTGCAATCTCTTACCAGTATTACTGGTGTTTGTAGTTTAAAATTGAACAGTTTAAATCCAGATCCTTTTATATAAAAATGTTTTCTTTCCTCCGCCATTAGTGGAGGGTATTAAGAGTTCGGTCCGGCTTAATGAATTTTTACTTATTTTGTAATGTGTTACTATTTGTTGGAGTAGCTCATTGTTGAGCAATATATTTTGAAAAATTTTTAGAAGGCAAAGCTGAATATTTTCTGTGCTATTGCTAATTTGGCAATAGCATTTTAAACCCTGTTCGTGATACATTTCACATCCTAATGAAGAAATTTAAAAATGTTGCTAATATTTCTAGTGTTTACAATCAATGCTGGACATATAACGCTTCAAAGTTTTAGAAGGGCGTACCCCATCATATCATGTATAACTTTCACAAATTAAGTGAGAGAGTTAAGAGTGCTTCACTTATTGATAAGGTTCTCCTCAACTGTGTGGAGTGCAAATATGCAAATATGAGTTAGGCAAAATATGATGCACATTTATATGATATATCGTTAAGATATTGATAATCATTTTTGTCAACGCTTTTCCAAAACTTACAAAGCTCGATTTCTTGTGGGGCCCCCATTTCGCAACGTAGTATTATCAATTCCGTTTGATTTTCTAGCTGGTATTGCAAACTTTCGTTCTTGTTCAGCATTAGTTGCATCAGTTCGAAATCTTGGAATGTTTGTTTCATATTACTACCAAGATCCTCTATGAGATATGTGTGTTTTGTTTTTTAAGCAGTTATCTTGCCTGTGAATTTGTGCAGTTTTAGAAAATGTATCTGACTTTAAATCGCCTTTTAACAAATGTAATTTTCTTTTTAAGTTAAATACTATCTTCCACAAATTATTCAAAATGAAGCCTTTTACTTGCTTTTTTTTCGATTCATTCACAAAGCATGCCACTGCTTTATTTTTCAAAAATTTCACGAGTTTGCGGTGTGTTAAGGAGTGATTTTTAATCATTTGTTCTGCCTTTTAAATTTGTAGAAGATTAGTCATAAATTTTGATACTAGAGTTATCTAATGAATTATGCAATGAAAGTTGTTAAATTTGAAATCATGTTTGTTTAACTGACCAATAAATCCATCTGCTACACATAACATAACAGCTAATTATCAGAATCGACAATTGAAAATAGTTTTTAATATACGACATAAAGAAGTACATTTAAGTAACGGAATTGGCGCCTCGAGCTAATTCACCAGCCATTTCAATCCCTACTATATTGTTATGTCCTAGGACCCAACTATATTCGGTATTTTAATAATTTTACCTACATTTTTCAACAGAGTTATCTTAAACATTTTGTTTAGAGTTCGTGAACGGCACCACCTTTTCTAACAGATAATTGGCTGTGGAGACCCACGTTCCCGCCACCATATAACTGTACCTCAAGATATTCGGAATATTTCAAATTATAGGGTCATTTTTTAACGATTTTGGAAGTTCTTTCCAAATGTTGAAGTGATGAGTTTTTCTATGGTCTTAAGGAATTATGTCATTAATATGTAGGATAATTTTCTATTTTGATATTTCCTGCAAATAGTAGCCCCGACTAAGCAAATTTGGAACCACACCATAGTCCGTCAGTTGGCGGATGCTGATAGAATGTACCGTAAAGAAAAATTGCAACGAGCGAACTTTATAGAAAACTGAATATTAAAACTTTTGACTCTTTGTAAGATTCTAGCTACACCATTTATTAACAGTCGGTCATTATCACGCAACTTTTTATATATAGAAAATTGATAGTATATTTAAAGTTCTACTTCCCCTCAAACGCTCAATACCATGTGTCCAGAGCTAATATCGAAATAGATAGTACCTTTTGACACTTTACGTGATCTTTATACTCAAGTATTTTTATAAAAGTTTGATAACTCACAGACAGTGAATGGATTATGTCCACACATACCACCCACTCCTATCAAATACGAATTGAATCACTGATCTTCTTCAAATGTTGCATATTCTATCGGCACTAGATGACGAGCGGTCCATATTTATCCACTCTTTTACAAGCCCTTAAAATCCAGATTGAATTGAGGATCTACTTGGTGTAACACCTCTGCATGCAGCTCCGTCCGCGTTCAATGATTAACAATTGTTCTCTCGACTTGAGGGATTAATGTAGAAAGTAAGAAAAGAGAGAAAAATATTATTTTTGAATGTAGTTTCGATTCTCTATCCGGCATGAAGCGCCAAATGTAAGAATGCAAAAGAAGAACACAACTGCTTCGTTTGGCTGTGGATTAAACTCAAATCTAATCTAACTTTGTCTAATCCCAGCCACACAATTATTCTTACTATTCTAATATTGATATGGAACATTTCAGGGCTGCTTGTCCTTTCATTCAAGTGGTCTTGCATACCCACTGAGCAGATCTCTCATACATTATCGTATGCATAGACAAATTAAAATATAGACAACGAAAAGTTAGTTTTGTCTTTTTATCCAGGAAACTCTCATCATGTTTTGCATAGTCAACATGCTGATTTACGCGTTCGACCCAATCGACTTCGAACACATATGTTATCGTGTTCAAGGATTCCACTTGATTATTCTGGAATTCTTTGATGTCATCACGTACTTTTCACATTTATTTTATTATGTAAAAATTTTCAACTGACAATAATACAGTTTTTTGTTATTTTTAACATTTAAGAATTGAGTGAATTCAATATTCACACTCAAACCCCTGAAACAATATAGGCGACATCTGCTGATCCGATTTTTTCGAAGATAAACGGAGTCTATATTTACATTTGTCTATGCGACATCACATATTCGGTATTTTGATGATTTTAGGCACATTTTTCAATGGAAATGTCTAAAATTCTCCACAAGGAGTTCTCTGTGAGTACTTTATCCCCTGAAAAAAATTGTCTATATAGGTCCACGACATCGTACATCTCCCATATAACTGTACCTCCTTGTATTCGGTATTTTGATGATGTTAGTCACATTTTTCAATGGCATTGTCTTAAAATCAACACAGGAAGTTCTCTACGAATATTTTACCCCCCTGAAAGGAAATTTTCTGTATAAGTCAACGATATCGTAAAGCCCCCATACAAAGGTGTCCCTATATTGGGTATTTCCACACAAGGAGTTCTCTCTGAGTACTTTAACCCTGGAAGAGAATTGCCTATATAGGTATACGTTTTAGTATAGTACCCATATAACGCTACCCCCAGATATTCGGTATTTCCAGGATTTTCGCAACATTATTCACCGGAATTGCGTCAAATTTGAAATTCGTAATGGGTATTTCAACCTATGACGGAAATTGTCGATGCAGGTCCATGTCTTAGTGTAGCCCCTATATAACGATACCTTATTCGGTATTTTGATGATATTAGAGACATTATTCACCAGAATTCTTTCGAATTTCTTATTTGAAGTTCGGAATTGGTACTGCAGCCTATGACAGAAAATTACTTATCCAGCACCACGTCTTCGTATAGCTTCCATATAAAGATTTTTATTTGAACGGTATTTTTCGACAGATTTTTTTAAATATTTTAAGTTCTTTCCGAATGGTGTAGGGGATAAAAGGTTCGGCCCTTAGCTTCGTTTCTACATACATAATATGGAGGGTATATTAAGTTTATCATTCCATTTGTAACTAATCGAAATAATAATTTTAGGCCCAACAAATTATACATATTCTTGATCAGCTTAAAATTCTAAGACGATTTAGCCCTGTCCGTCCGTTGTTATCACGCTAGAGTCAAAACAAATTAAGATAGGAAGCTAAAATTTGCACAGATCAGTCTTTTGTGTGATGTTCGGAATCGGTACTACAGCTCATGACAGAAAAAAGAAGCTTATTAGGTTATTTTTTGCTTGTTAATTGCTACATTTTCCCAACGCCTCAACCGAACTTAACAGTATGTACAAAGAGTTTTGTACAACAATTTTTTTTAACCTTCCTATACGCGCGTCAAAGGATGTAACACGTATACTCACCCTCGGTCTGTCAGGCCGATATCTTCAGAGCCTTCTTAACTTATACTTGTTTAAAAAAATAATTATTTAAACATGTTTTGAGTAATGTAAACAAAAGTTTTGCAGAAAAAAAAATATTTATGACTTATAGTTTTTCATTTCGCTCTTCGTTCATATGAAAAAAACTTAAAACACTATTAGTCGTTCTCACAGACCGTACGCGAGTATAGCTATGTTAATTAACGTATTTGCATATGGAAATTGGTCAAAAGGTAAATTAAGGACTCTTAAATGTCCACCCAAAAACATCTCTGTCCTTTAAATGTAAACACTTCTATTTTCTATTTATTGTTGTAAATTGACAATTAGAATAATTATATCTTCAACAGGTTCAAGCTCAGCTTGGTGGAACGAAGTTACTTGCACTGGACTTTTTTCTTTGGGACTTGGTCTATTTTTACTCATTCTAAATTGTTTGATCAGTCGCAAAGAAGAGGAGGACTTGGAAGATTACGTTCAACGGCAGTTAACACGATCTCGATCAGGACATCGCTTAGAGCGAGATGTCGAAACAGGTGTTCTAACAACAAGACATGCTCGCAAAGCAGTGGCACTGCAGAAAAATGGACACGCTGCCGATGTAGCACTTGTCAACAGTTCAGTCAATGAAAATGTTCCCAATGGGTCCATAGATGGAAGGACTTGTATGTTACGCTGCTCTTATTGAAGTGCATGGTATAATATATGCAATTCTCCTCTCGTTACAGGTATAAATACTTCCGGTGATATTTTATTAGAAAAAATAGTCGAAGAAGATAACTCATATCTGAATAACGGTAGCGTCGGTGTTTCACCCATAGAAATCGAAAATGATACCAAACAGCTTTTACGGAGCGAATCAATAAATGAAACAATCAATATTACACGAATATAAAAAGTTTTACCCGGACTCACCAAATTTTCTTTATGCAATTTAATACTTACTTTTTAACAAAAACAATTATGTAGATAATAAATTACGTATCTCTTTTTATAAAAAAGAATAAGAAACTATAATACACTACAGTTAACTGTAGAGAACAACAAACGACCTAAACCAAATATAATACACTTACATACCTACATACATTTTTCTAAGCTTAAGATACGGTTTTTTATAAAATACCTTAATTTATTATATACCTATTAAATTAAATTACATACATATAAGTGAAATCAAATATTTTTGTATATCTTGAAAGCTTTCAGTTTCTAAATTATTAAATATTTTACCTTTTGCACTTTTCGCTCAATAAATATTCCGCTAATACGAAAATATCACACCCTCATTTTAACTATGCAAATTGCGAGGTCGCTGAGCCTCGGTTTTCTTTTGCAACAAATCAGAATGTTGTTGTTGCTCGAAGGCCTGCCGAACTGTAAATAATCAAATAAATTGAGAATAATGTTTAAAATGGTCATATTGATAACTTATTTCTTCATTTCAAGTTCTCATGGTACTTGATTCATTTCCGACCAATGTTTTGTATTTAAATAGGATCACAATGAGTTCTATCATCAAAGGAAGGGGGGTAAAAACCACTAAAAATGGATGATTGTATGTACCATATCAGAACTTAGTCTCATTAGCGAAATCGATATCCTTTTAATACCCTCCACATCGATGGCCCGGCCCGCGTTTCTGGCCCATAGTTTCAGTTTTTAATGAATAGTTTTTAGAGCATAATAATTCACATTAGTGGTAAAATTTTTAGTATAAATGATGTCCCGACTAAATAGAAATAAATACACATTGCCAAAATACACGCAAATACCTGATCCTATTTTTAAGCCAGAGGTTTTAATTTGAGAGTTAAAAACCTAAATAACAAATCACATATACTAAAAAAAGTATACATCAACTGTTTAAAATAGTCCCATGTAAGATGGTAAGCCAAATCGATTCAAAAATATAATCAAAACCCTCGAAATTGGAAAATCAGGAGGTACTTTTATATAGGCACTTCTCCGAAACATTGACATTGAAAAATTTCCACGAATAGGTCTTTTACCCCTTTAGAAGCTAAGATGCCAAATAAGGGCAAAATCAATTGAAAAATGTGACTAAGACCCTGGAAATAGCTGAAATCAGCGGACACCTTCATATAAGGGATACACCAAAGAGTGGTCCAATACTTATTATTTGAATGAATGTGTTGTTCTTTCTAAAATCTTAAATTAACAACATTTGAGGAATTTGAAAGGGGCTATATCATTTGAGGGGGCTATATCACAATGTAGACCGACCTGTTAAATATTTTGTACAAATGATACTTCATGTAACCTCTAGGACTGTATCAAATTTAAAACTCTATCGTAATTTTTGTATTTTGAATATAGAGCAAAATATTTGAGGTCCCTTGTGTATGGTTAAGCTATATAAAATGGACCCTATAAACGTATGACCCGAAAATCCCCTTTTTGGATTTTTATCTACCAACCGGACAATTTCCCAAGTGTAGTTTCCCGCAGTGTAATTACTGACGATAGCGCATTGTTCCCGTATAACGTTGCATGTGAGTTAAGGGTACTTTTAAGGGTTCGGAAGAATTTTCCGAGGATATGAATCCTTACTAAATTTTCAATTCGCTCCACTATTCTGTAAAGTCCGCATATTACAGTGCCTCTTCATATTCGGTGTTTCACTGATTCCAGTCCCAATGAATTTAGCATTTAGAGTTCTCATTGAATGGATTATTTCCATATCTAGTCATTTTTTTTTTTTTTTTTTTTTTTGGAGTTTTTGACCTCAGAATCAATAGTAATTTCTAAATTGAAATCCTGGCAATATGACTTTGATTTAACTATCATAAATAAAAAAAAATAAAAAATCACAACAAAAGTCCACTTTATGATTTATTTTCTATTTCCCAGTACCCCTTTATAGCGTTATATCATCGTATTTCATGAATTTTCAAACCTCAATTATCAGTATTATAAAGGTCTTAGCAAAATTTTCCAAATCAAAAATAATTTTAAATTTGCAACATTTTGAAAACCATGTTGTAAGGTATTTATGTATTATATCCGTCTGTGTATGCGGCCGTTCGTTGAAGTCGCAATGAAGGCGAAATATTTCGGTTAATCTTTGGTTCGCTTAGGTATAATAATACCACTAAAAAATCGCCCTTTTGCATGTTTTGTTATAATTTCTACCGAATTATCTGTATTTTGACATTTAAAGTTTTCGGTATTGTGAAATCAATACCGGCAATAACAGTACATTGAGATTTTAAATGTTTTGATGCTTTGAAAAGTATTTTTTAATCAAAATTTAAACTATATAACGGCATGTATAGAAAATATGCAAAATTACTCGACTTTTTCGGTTTTTTCAATAAGAATTTTAAATCCCGAAAAGGCATTTTGAAACAATTCTACACAAAATTCCATATTATAATAGAACAGTCAATTTTTTCAGTTCCGCGATTTTTCTAAAAAAATTTACAAATAACCAAAAGAAAATTTGAGTCAAATCGGCCCAGCAGTTCTCAACTGATGTGTTACTATATTTTTTTTAAGTTGTATATTTATAAATTTAAAGAAGTAGATGGGGCCAGTTTCTCTGACCCAAAAAGATGCCTAGGGTTGGAGGGAGAATCAAGATTACGTCGTATACTAACTGTGAAACAGATATCTTCATGATTTGGCAACTATTAGGATTTTAGATAAATCGAAAAAATGGACGCAAAATTGGGCGTGTTCACTTTTTCTTTGCATAAAAACCTAAGGCGGTCTCAACTGATTCAAATACCAATGAACAACAATTGGTTTATATATAGATTAAAACTCAACAGTATGTCGCGTAATAATTTTAAAACCGATATCTTCATTATTTTGGCAAATATAAGGATTTTAGATAAATGAAAATAGTGGGCGTAAAAGTAGGCGTGGTCAATATTTTTTTTCTTTTTCAATTTTTTCTCTTTCCATTACCAACGAACAACAATCTATATATATATATATATATATATATATATATATATATATATATATATATATATATATATATATATATATATAATATATATATATATATATATATATATATATATATATATATATATATATATATATATATATATATATATATATATATATATATATATATATATATATATATATATATATATATATATATATATATATGTATATAAAAATCAATTGTTGTTCATTGGTAATGGAAAGAGAAAATATTGAAAAATATATATATATGGCCGGCGCTTGAGTTTTGGTGGCCAACCCAAGGTGCACATTTTTAGCTGACCTCTTTCATTTTCTTTGTTTACAAACTGTTGACAACGAATGTTCATCGGAGAAAACCAAATTCGGCAGTTCACCACTTTCTTCCAAGCCAAGCAACTCTTTAGCTCTTTGGAGACAATTTTCTTTCTGTTGCGGTGTAAGTTCATACACTTTTTGGAATTTCAATGGCTTTACCCAGAGCTCATTTTTAAACATTTGCCGAATGGAATATTCCGTTATTTTCAGCTCACGAGCCAATTTTCCGGCCATTGCGATGCGGGTTCCGATGAAGTCGCTTCTTTACTTTTCGAACCATTTCTGCTGATGTTGCGGTTTTGTTCCATTTATTTCCTTGACGTCGAGCCACGCTACCAGTATCAGAGTAAAGAGCGATGGTAAGAGACATAAAAGATTTATTCACATTTAAATGCTGGAGTGCTCTAACGATAGCCACTTGTGGTTTCCAGCCAAATATAAAGAAATCATACTATCACGCTTGAATTCAATCACGAATAACTTTTTTTCCTGGAAAATTCTCACCAAAATACTTTTGTCCGCTTGTATACAATGTAATGAGCTTTCACTGGAATAATTTTAACATCTGTCGGACGAGTGGCTCAGAAATGACAGCAGTCTGAATTTGGTTGCAGTTTTTTCAACGTTGGCCAACAAAGCTCATCTTCGAATTTAACGTGACTGCAGACAAAAGAAACACATGCCGTTGGGACTCTAGTGTGATTACAACAGACGGACAGTATGGAGGGTATATATAGGTCAAATTCGAAGATGAGCTACGTTGGTCAACGTTGTCGTATAGCCCTCATATAATTGTACCTTTCCACATTCGGTATTTTTATGGGCTAGGCTCAGTTTCTAGCGGTATAGCTTAAAATTTGATATTTAGAGGTTATATTGGATTCTGTATCCTGCAGCAAAACACTGTCTAAAAATGTCCACGTTTTCCTATATCCCCCATATAAAAGTACTTCCCGTTATTGGGTATTTTGAATATTTTTAAAACTGAAGCCAAATTTTTACAGCATTTCTTGAAATTTAAATTGAATGTTCCTAATAACAGAAGTGAAGCATACCCCTCGAATACTAGAATTTACATCAGTTACTTTCTAAATTGTAGATGGTATAAAAAGTTTGGCCCGGTCGAACATAACTTGCTTTAATTAGAACTCATCCATCATTATCAGATAATTTTAAAACGATTCCCTAACTATTTACGTCAGATTAGTGTCCAATGCATATTTTAAAGTACCTAATATAAGTTCTAAACGTTTTGATTTTCTCTTTGAAAAAGCCTAGACTTAGATAAAAAATGTTGGCTTAAAACTGCAGAAAATCTACAAATCTGCCAGTTGTCATTGTTTAAGCTTATTGATGTTTTCCTTGCTTTGTGGTTGATTCTTTTTTCTCTTCAACACATTTACTTGAGGGGTACAGTATTTATGATGATGTCGATTAAATTATGCCCGTGTGAATCTCCTCTCGCTATTTGTAATTGCAATGGAGGCCGTCATAATCAATATGTCTCTTTGAAACTTTGTACAGACTTTTATATTATTCCTAAGATGATTAATGTTACAAAAGGTATATATTTGCACCCATTTAGATAGAGATCTCATGTAATATTATCGCCTAATATCCTTTATTTGATAATTTCAGGACAGTTAAATCTAGTCTTTTAATACTGGTTCCATCAGAATACCTCAAATCGGCAGGTTATATGAGTACCTGCCTATTTGAGGTATTCTGATGGATTCAAAAGCATTCTCGAGGTTAAAAATTCTCTGCCAAAAAATTTATGATTTTGTTTCATATTCACCAGATATATATATATATATATATATCTATATCTATAAAAGAGGAAAATGTTTGTATGTTTGTTTGTTTGTTTGTTTGTTTGTTTGTTTGTAATTTATAGACTCGAAAACCGCTGAATAGATTTTCCTGAAAATTTCCATATATACTGCAACATCGCCTGAAAGTAACATAGGCTATATACATTTTTGAATTTCCACTTGGAACTGGAGATATATCATCAGAATCGGAGGTACCTCCCAAAAATTTAGATTTTATATGCACATATCTATTGATTGGTTGAAGATACAGTCTCCAAATTTGGAATACGTAACGGA